TTTTTTTTTTTTTTTTTTCTCCTTAGCTCTCTATAATTATGAGATCATTGGTTATACTCCCATTGTTTTATTTTATTTTATTTTTACCTAATCAGTCTACTAATTTAATGTAATTTATTCCCTGTCTATCCGAGTAACTAAAATATTAGTTATATTCTTGAATATAATCACATAAAGTTTCAGTTTTCGTTTCTACTGTGTCATTCCATATGATGAATAATCTCCGCATGGTATTTAAAAACAAATATGCCTATGCTCAGAAAAAGACACCTCCCCTATGGTTTGTCTTCCAAACCAAAATATAGCAGTGTTTCATAAGCAGATTGCACTGTTTTAAACAGGAAATTCATTCTATTTGGTTTTGATCATGGAAAAATACAGTACTTTTGGGGAGGGGCTATTTAGATATTAACATGGATGTATAAGAAGATGCTTAAAGCAGATAGAATGAGTTAATTGCTGTAGGATGTACTTGTAGACAAGAGAGCAATTAAGCTTTCTTTCTTTAATGCAATACATATTGCAACTAGGTAGAAGATATGAACCTTGCAGGTGAAGCCCATATGACAGGAAGGGATATTTTACAACTGTAATTAAATTCTATGGATTTTACAAAAACAGTGTGTGACCAATGGTATACTTGTAATATCACCCTCCCACAGCATGCAGAAAGACAAAAAATGTAAAATTTGTGCCAAACTGCCATTTTTCATTGCACATCTTGGATTTTTTTTTTTAAGGAAATTACCATTATTGCTGTGCTCATGTGATCAGGTAGCAAATTAACTGATCCTGTGGGGATTTGAATGCCATAGTGGAGCTGCTGGAAGAACATTAATATAATTTATATATTTTTTGTTCTCAACTTCATAAACTAAAGCATGCAGAGATGAAAATACACAAGCTTCTGTTCAGGATTTTTATATGACATACTGTGTCTTTTGCCCACCTTCCCATACTGTGTACTGGTTTCTCTAGTTACCACCACTGGAATGGTGCTGTTTCAGTGCTGGACTGTTGGACGTTTGATTAGAAAATGGATTGAGCTTAATGGCGCATACTCTTTGTGCACCAGCAATCTCTTGCTGAGAGCATGCTCTAAAAGTGGGAACTGTGTGGTGTGGCATTACACTGAGCACATATATGCTTTGTGTTTCTGTACCACAGAGAAATGAACTGTGGTATTTGCTTCAGCGTTCTGAACATTTCTGCTTATATATATATAAATCATACAGTGTCCTGTTTGTATAATGGTACTTTGCTTCATGTTGTTCACTCACTATTTATACTTAAAAACAAAACATCTTGATAGCATCTCTTTCAAATGATGTAGTCTGTAACAGCTTTGTAGGATGAAGGGAGGCATATCAAATAATCTTCATGTGGCTCTTTCAAAAGCTGAAATGTGGTGAAAAATATGATGCTCTGAGTAATTTTGTCTGTTATTTGACAAGGATAATTACTTAAAGGAATATTATGCACAAGCTTGTGTAAAATTTAATTCTTTTTTTCTCATCTTTTTTTTTTTTCTCATCCTGTTTTCTCATCTTGTCAGAAACCTATCTCAATATTGCCTTGATTGCTAAAACAAAGTGATGCTGAAATGCTGGTGTTTTTTTTTTTTTTAATTCTCCCTCTCCACTTCTTCCCACAGGATGAATTTCACCCATTCATTGAGGCACTTCTTCCACATGTCCTTGCAGTTGCCTATAAGTGGTTCAACCTTCAAGCTTGAAAACGCAAGCAGCAGATGTCAAAGGATGAGGAAAGAGCAGTCAAGGATGAGCTACTTAGTGAGAAGCCTGAAATTAAGCCAAAGTGGGCATCTAGGCTCCTCACCAAGCTGCGCAAAGATATTCTCCAAGAGTTCCAGGAGGATTTTGTGCTCACAGTGACTGGGAAGAAGCACCCATGTTGTGTATTGTCCAATCCTGATCAGAAGGGTAAGATTAGGAGAATCGACTGCCTGCAACAGGCTGACAAAGTCTGGCGTCTGGATTTAGTCATGGTGATCCTGTTCAAAGGCATCCTCTTGGAAAGCACAGATGGAGAGCGACTCATGAAATCCCCACATTGCACAAATTCAGCACTTTGTGTCCAGCCACATCACATAACAGTATCAGTCAAGGAGCTTGTTTTGTTTTTGGCATACTACGTGGAGGAACAAGGTAGGAAGCAGATTGTTGTGTTTCTATGTTAGTATGTAAAACTGATTCTAAGTTGACCTTTTTCTCCTAAGCAATGACTTCTCATGAAATATTCCTCTGTGGTCTATATACACAATGTGGGTGTGTATGCATATGATACATATATTTTACATACATGTCATGTTCTCTTTCAAGATACTAGGACATACTAAGGAAGTACTTTAGTATCTTTAAAGTTGCTATTTATGTCAGAGTGGCAGTATGTTGTATGTTTTTCCAGTTAGTGCTTCAGAAAACATCGTTATCGGTCTCTTTCTCCAGTACTGTTAACAACAGATGCAGGTACATGCAATTGCACAGACATATAGGTAATGTATTTATTCTCACCTTTTTAACTACTAATATTCAAAATACTTTCCTTAAATTGATGAATCTGCAATTGCTTTGAAGAGCAATTGTTAACTTTTTCATCATTATTAAGCATGAAAATCTCTAGCAAAGAAATACTGCTTAAATACCATAGCTTTATATTTAGATTTACAGCATATGGCATTTACATTTTAGTCATATTTGACAATAGTATCTTGCTGTATTACTTGTCTGAACTTTACAACAAAAATCCCTGTTGTAATATTTTTATGAAATATTCCATGAAAATGATCATTTTTTCATCATCACACTGCTATATTTAACTTTATTTGAAAGATATTTAAATATGGAAAACCCCAGGTGCACTTTGGAAAAACTAATTACAATTAGTGTTATAGAATAAAAAGGAAATCAACTGGTGATATTTTTTTATCATGGAAAACCACAATATTAATGTGCAGATTTTGCAAATACTGAGACTCATGGAAAACTTGCTGAAAGGCCTTTTCTGTCCTCTGGTGATTGTATCATCTTCTAGTAGTCTTTACATTGCTACGGAGTCTACACTAACAAATAATTTATTTCTTAGCTGCAAATCCAAACTAGGGAAAATTTTAACTGCCACGGATGATGGGCCATTTCTCAACTTGTCCTCAGAGCAGGCAGAAATAGCCTATAGGAGAGCAGGTGACAGGCTGTTATCTGATGCTCAGAATATAACTAAGGAGTTTAACTGAAAAAATAACTGAATGGATTATATTAGTAACAAAAAATAAAATAGCACATGTCTTCATTTGGCCATTTTTTAATTTTAATATTTAATATTTTTTCTCAATTATTCTCATTGAAAACAAGCTATTAATGATGCTTTGTAGTGTAGTGCACTTGATTAAGAACACCAGGCTTTAGAAAACATAAACATGAAGTCTGTCAAACTGCTGCATCATTTGCTTAATGTTTTGCTTTTTATTTCTCTCTGAGAATATGAAAAGCCATATCATATCAAATGATATCATATAAAATCTAAGAAATAATAATTCCTGAATGAAATATGAATGAATTGCTACATAAAATTAATAATAAGGGGCAAAGTAGCATGGATTTTTTTTGTTGTTGTTGTGGCTTTTAAAATAATTGGTGGGGGGAGAGAAGAGAAAAAATAGCTTGAGTGCCAGTGATGGTTGCTAGTGGCATCAGAATTGGCACAAGATCCTCTTTGTTTAGCCTAGAATGCCTGTGATTTGTTGGTTGGCATCTGCATTGCAATGTGGACTAATGTTACAATATATTGACAACTTCTAAATCTAGAAGTGTCAATTCTTTTGGCTCTTCATTAAAAAAAAGAGCACCTACTTCCTTGATGAGGAAAATAAGGACTAGCTGGTCAAGTTTTGTCATTGACCAACTTTTGTTCTCCTTTTTGTTCCTCAAAATTTAGCTTGTTTCTCATTTTCTCTTACTACTATCCTCTCCTGTAGCAGGATCTTTAAAAACAAACCAAAAAAAACAAACAAAAAAACCCCAAACAAACCCCCAAACCCCAAAACAAAAACAAAGAAAAAAACACACCACCTAAGTGGTTCGAGAGGTTGCAATGCTGCTGCTTTGATTGATTTGGAGAAAGAAACAATGAATTATTGTGATCAATAATTCAATAATTCATTCATTAAAATAATTCTTAATGATACATTTCTATCGATTTCTGCCTGTTCTAAGTGTCTCTCTGCATCAGACAGCTTCTATATTATTAAATGCATCTCGGTACATAAAATCATTTGGTGGTATGATTTAATCAGTGCAGCATTTTGCTGTGTTTTGTTGTTACAAGAACCGCCATTTTGTTTGTCAAGTGCCAAGAAAGGAGAGAAAAAAAGGCAGACTGTGCTTTATGCCAGAAATGGTTGCCCGTGGCACCGAGGTTGGCATCAGACCCTCTTTGTCTCATTGTTGAATGTTTTTTATTTCTTGGTTGGGATCCGCATTGCAATGGGCAGGTTGGAAAGTTTTGACAATCACTGAATAAAAGCCACAGTACTTGTTTGCTGCAACAGAACCTGGATAGTATAAACCCCTTTTCCTTATTAGGTGTTTTACCTAGTAAAAGGTAAAAAAAGGTGTTTTACCTAGCTGACATTAAAAAAAAATGCATTGCTTTTTGTGTAAAACAGTATCTACTGAAGTGTTTTTCATCTGCAGAATTCTTAACCCTCGGTTATCTCTACTGTTTTTCTCTTTTTCAATATAAATAAAATGCATACCTGCTGTTACATATTTCAGCACATACTGAATTGATGGATGATATGGTGGATGATAAGTTGACCATGAGGCAGCAGTGTGCCCTCGTGGCCAAGAAGGCCAATGGGATCCTGGGGTGCAAGCGCAGGGCCACAAGGATGATCAGGGGCCTGGAACATCTGCCCTGTGAGGAGAGGCTGAGGGAGCTGGGCCTGTTCAGCCTAGGGAAGAGAAGGCTGAGAGGGGATCTAATCAGTGTCTATAAGTACCTCAAGGGAGGGAGTGCAGAGGACGGTGATGGTCTCTTTTCAGTGGTGGCCACTGGTAGGACTAGAGGAAATGGCCGGAAACTGAAACATCAAAAATTCCATAGGAACTTAAGGAAAAATTTCTTAACAGTGAGGGTGACAGAGCCCTGGAACAGGCTGCCCAGAGGCGTTGTGGAGGCGCCTTCTCTGGAGATCTTCAAAACCCGCTTGGATGCAGTCCTGTGCCACGTGCTCTAGGTGACCCTGCGTGTGCAGGGGGGTTGGACTAGATGACCTCTAGAGGTCCCTTCCAACCTTAAGCATTCTATGATTCTATGAATTAAAGCATAATGGACCTTGAAGTATTTTGGTAGTGTGAAAGATTGAAGCAAAGGTAAATGCACTAAACATTTGCAAGTGGTTTATGTGTGTGCTCCTCTTAGTACATTTCTCAGCTCACTCATGTTACCCACTGTTTACATGCTCCTTTGTCCTTGTCTAAGAGTGATATAATTAGAGGGAGCCTGCATCCCTTGCTATTAATAAAATCCGAAGTTGAGGGGACAATCTTTTAAACTATCTAAGAAAGAGAGTGGAAAATAGATACAGATCTGCTTAGTCTGATGTTGTATAGACACTCTTGAACTTTTAAATTCTTAAACATCAAGATGCTGTGATGGTTCTAACTGCATAACTTCTGTTACCAGGAAAACAACAAAAGGGCTAAATCATTTTTGTTGATATTTCCTAGAGAGTTGGTTTTAATATTGCTTTATGGTTAACCACCATTAACACATTAATTAAGGAAAAAGGATTACACAGAATTTTTCCTCACGTTCAAATGAAACTTCCTGTGCTTCAGTTTATGGTTGTTGCCTCTTGTCCTATCGCTGGGCACCACTGAAAAGAGTCTGGCCCCATCCTCTTGATGCCCTCCCTTAAGATATTTATACACACTGATAAAATTTCCTCTCAGCCTTCTCTTCTCTGGTCTGAAAAGGCCCAGCTCTTTCAGTCTGTTATAGGAGAGGTGCTCCAGTCCCCTTATCATCTTTGTAGCTCTATGCTGGACTCTCTCCAGTGGTTTCATGTCCCTCTTGAACTGGGGAGCCCAGAACTGGACACAGAACTCCAGATATGGCCTCACCAGGGCTGAGCAGAGGGGCAGGATCGCCTCCCTCCACCTGCTGGCAACACTCCTCCTAATGCAGGATGCAACTGGCCTTCTTGGCCACAAGGGCACATGGCTGGCTCATGGTAGTACACCAGGACTCCCAGGTCCTTCTTTGGAGAGCTGCTTTCCAGCACGTCAGCCCCCAGCCTGTACTGCTGCATATGGTTATTCTTCCCTAGGTGCAGGACCCTGCACTTGCTCTCGTTGAACTTCATGAGGTTCCTCTGGGCCCAGTTCTCCAGCGTGAAACTCTGACAAATCACATATTGTGAGAGTGTACCCTCAGCGAGTTTGATGATGATACAAAACTGGGAGGAGTGGCTGAGACACCAGTGAGCTGTGTTCCATTCAGAGAGACCTGGATAGGATGGAGTTCACACATCTAATTGATTCTTGACCTGGAAACAGAAAATTGTCCTCATTCCTTTCTGCACCTATAGGAGCCTAAAAGCTTTAGAACTTTGTCACATATGGAAAGGACTTACTGATGTCCTGTGTTTAAACAAATCTGAGTTTTGAATCTTCTAATATAGAAGAAGCATGAGTTTCATATTTTATCAGTTTTCATTTTAAATGAGCTTTTTGTAAAATAACAATCTAATAGTGAATAATGAACTTTTTTTAAAAAAAACCTTCAATTTGCTATGAGCAATTCCAATTTATTCATGCATGCAGAAAATATTTTTTTTCTTTTAACTTGAAAAAGACACCATACTGGCTTCTGTTTCTCTACTATACAATGCTGGATTACCGTGCCAAGTATCTCAAATATGCTGAAAAGATTGGCCATGAAATGCAACATTAAAAGTGATGGTTAATTTGATTTATATCTAGGCATAGTCTTATTTTCTGTTTGAGTGTCAAGTATTTTGTGCATTAGCATGTAGAGAATTAAAACATTTGAAAAGATTACCAATCCTTTGTGATTTCTCACAATGTACATGTAGATTGACGTTTGTAAGGTAGAAATTAAGAATTCAAAATGGAAATTTGTTGCAGCTTGGAGCGGGTCAGGATTGTCATTCTCTGTTGCAGCTTGGAGCGGGTCTGGAATGCCAGACATCAACTTCATAGAAGCTGGAACTGACTTCGTCTATTAGCTTTTC